GGCCCCAGCCCTGTCTAGGAAGAGCCCTCAGGACAGGACCAGGCTTTCCAATGCTGCCCAAACCCATGTCCAGAACGGATGCTCCTCCACTCTGCTTCCTGTCCAGCCTCTCTGGCCTGCTTAGTGCCCATTGGGTGCCCCACGCCATGAGGTCCTGGGCCACCAGCCTCCCTCCCTCCAGTCCACAGATGGTAGGAAAGCTGACCTGGAGTGTCCTCAGCTCCCACACGGCCCAACACCCCTGGCCAGCAAGCTTCTCCGGTGCCTCCTGCATGGACAGACCCCTGCTCACCCTCATCCCAAGCACTGGCTCCTCTTCCAGAAGTCTTCCTAGATCTCTGGACCCTTTGTCCAGCCCTTCATTATCAACCAGCTCAGCTTAGGTCGATGGCTACACACATGTGGGGTCCCTGTTCCCCTCAACAAGGTCTTGCTCCCACCCCCAGCAGCGGGTAAAGAGAGAGGGCACAGGTGTGGGCCTGGACAGACCTGGTTCACCATGCCTGCCTCTGACTAGGCACAGCCCCTGCAAGCCCGCCCTCCTTGGCCCCCAGGCTGCTTCCCACCCCAGGCCAAGTCCCCAGGCTGGCTCTGCTCTGTCAGACTCACAGTTCCACCAGAAATCTGTGTCTTTCTATCCCTTCTTATACCCTGGCGCTGGCCAAGCACATGTGCTGGCCACCTATGCCTCCAGAATTGTACCATGTCACGTCTCAGGGTAGCCCAAGCCCCCAGACCAAGGCTCTTCACTCAGCCCCTGGTCCTGACTTCAGTGAACAAGGGTCCTGACGAGGCACGGCTGGAGGGCCGCCAGGACTTCTCACGGAGACTCCTGGGAGCCTCCGCCTACCAGGCTGGCCAGGCTGGCCAGGCCGAGTCTCCCTGAGTGCTAGGGCCTCACATCCCTTCCTAGGGCCCAGAATGCCTGCCTTTCCTCAGTGCCCACCCCAAAAGTACCTCCAGGGCTCCTGACCTGCAGCACACGGGGCAGCACATGCTCCCAGGGCTCCCCTGCTGGGTGCAGGACACTATCTCCAGGTGTGGGGCCAGTGTCTGTTGCTAAGGAGCCTCCTTCCCAGGGCTACACCCCAACAGTCCTGTCCCGGACCTCAGGTCAGGTGGGCAGGGCTCTGCCTCAGTCCTTTCACCCATTTACAGCTGAAGAGAAGGGAATGACACTTGGCTACACATCTAGAACCGACGGCCACCTCGGTTGGGGCTCCCACACAGGACACCAGTGGCACCCCTGCTCTGTGCCCTGGGTGCCTGCTTCCCCAGAGCCCCAGACCTGCCACCCTGCCTTCCTGGGCTGGTGGGACAGGCCTCCCGGGTTGGACCCCGTACACAGAACTAAGAAGCCATCACCCAGGCAGGGCATAGGCAGCAGCCCTGCCCTCACTGTCCCTGCAGAGAATGGGACGCATTCCTGCTGCTTCCTCCAAGAGCACAGGGCCTGTGAAGGATCGCCCAGGAGCACCTCCTCTGATCCCAGGGCCGGTGTGCCCCAGGGTGCAACTACCTGGGTTGCTACATGGGGTGCAGGGAAAATGGACCCATCGTGCTCTTCCTTCCCTTTCTGTATGCCAGGCCCTGTCCCCGCAGTGAGGGATACAGTAGCCACCAAAACAGCAACCCCTACTCCGAAACCTCCTGTCTACTCTCCCACTGGCTGGCGCTGGGGATGGGGACAAAAGAGGAACAGGTGCAGAGCACATGCGCCAGGGCTGCCCTCCCTGGCCCTCCCCACTCCCTGACCTCCGAGGCTCTGGCCTTCTTGCTGGTTGAACTCTGTTAGAACCGGTGGACAAAGAGCATCCCAGAGGTAGGACATTAGGTGGGACAACAAGAAACCTGGTGCCACTGGAGAAAGTGGAACCACTGACTGGGGCAAGAGCTGAGGACGCTGCTTTTAGGGGTGGTCAATGCTCCTGCAGCCCCCACATCACTGAGGTGTCAGAGCTGCTCCAGACCCACAGACTCAGCTTGCCCCTGCACAGGATCCAGATGAGTCAGGAGCCTGCTGCTAGCCTAGGAAGCTCTCAGTAAGTGTTAGCCAATCATCACAATTACTTCCGGGGTTAGTCAGCTTATTTGTCACTACAATTGAAAGATGTGACAAAAACGGTTAAAGGAGGAAAAGTTTATTTGGGGATCATGGTTTCAGAGGTCTCAGTCCACAGACAGCTGACTCCATGCTCTGGGCAGAAGGGCGTGGAGGAGGAAAGCAGCTCAGGACCTGGAACCAGGAAGCAGCGAGAGCTCTGCTCACCAGGGAAGAAATACAACTCCCAAAGGCACGCTCCTGTGACCTGCCTCCTCCAGCCACACCTAGCTGCCTACAGTTACCACCCCGCTGATCCATCAGGTGGATGAATGCACTGATTAGGTCACGGCTGTCATAACCCAATCATTTCATCTCTAAACTTTCTTTACTGTCTGACACATGAGCTTTTGGGGGGTACCTCATATCTAACCCTACGTTCCTGTTCCACAGACCAAAACTGAGGCCCAGGACTGTGTGTGAATGACAAAGGGCCTGGGAGGGCCCTACTGGAGAAGTCAGAGGCCAGCCCAGGATGCTCTTGTGCAATGTCATCAGTGCATTTCACCTTGGTGGGAAGATGGGAAAGACACCTGGCTTGAAGGCTGAGGTCATCCCCTGCTGAAGCCCAGGAAGCAGATGTCAGAGTCCCGAGGACAGGACTGGACTTCAGTCACTTCTGCCCCATGCCTATGGCTGCCTTTGCTGAATTCCACAAGGTTTTGTACCTCCCTGCCATCAGTCCTAGGAGCCAAGAGAGAGTTGATAGGGTACCTAAGGGAGGAAGCCATGGCAGATGTCCTCTGCCCTGCAAAAGCTCTTCTCCCCACCCCATTCCATAATCCTGGAACCCAGAACACTGCAACAGACAGGACTCCCAGTCCTGAAGCCAGCCTACCGGCATGGAAAACTGATTTAGGATGTGGCAAGGGTGCCCATTCTGTTTTCTCACTCTCTCTTTCCTCTGAGAGCCCATTAGGACCTTCCTACTCTTTTCCTGTGCACTGAGGCCCACATTTTGAGTTGGTTCACTCTTTGGAGGAATATTCCCTAAACCCCAAAAATTCTACAAGACTTAAAAAGAGCAGATGGACTGGCAGCGCCATCTGCTGGCTGCCCTGGGCTCGGTCCTTTGCGAGGAGACATGCATGCACTAGTGCACCAAAACACATAAGGAAACTGAGGATTAGATGCACCATTCAATAGTGGAGCCAAGATCTGGGGCTAAGACTTAAAATCAGGGTGCCCTTAAGCCCGATCTCCCTGGGAACAGACACTTGGATACTGTTTCTGGTCCTAGAGGACCAGAATTCCCTCCTTGAGACTGGCTGGGATTTTCAACTCATCGTGCCCCTAAGAGAATCAGGAAAATGTATTCCTGTGCAGGCACCGGTTGGTGAAGGGTGCCCAGAGCCGGCCACACCTCATACACCTAACCTAAAACTGAGCTCATGAATCAAGGAAACAAGACCCCCCGTGGACCTGCGGACTAGAACGGCCCTGGACCAACAAAGAAATGCATTTCAATCTGTTGCATGAGAGTTGGCCAGAAACTTGTGGACTCCCTTAGTGTTCTCCTGAGCCACGCTGTCCCCCTGTTCCCGCCCCTCCCGTCGTGCCCCGCCCCTTCCTCCCAGCTCGTCCCTCCCGCGTTCCTGCCCCTCGCGTTGTGCCCCGCCCCTCTCTGCCGGGCCATTTCCCCTCTCCCCGGACTCGTCTTCCTCTCCCTCCGACCCCCGGACCCCCAGCAGGCCGCCCAGACACCAGGTTCCTCTGTGGCCTGTGGCGGCGCCAACCCCGCTGGCGTGCTGGCGTGCGACCTTAGCACGCGCCTAGGTCCATCCGTCCCTTCCCGAGAGCAGAGCGGCTGGGAAGAGTCAGGAGTCCGGGTGGGCGCTGGCGGCTGACGGTCACCGTCGTCCCAGGGCTCCCCAGCGCACGTTCCGCGGGCCCAGCGTCACTTAGCCAGAAGCTCCGGGCAGTGGTGGGTGTCCGCCGCCCATCCTAGGGCCCGCGCGCCTCGAGCTCTCACCCCGCCTCTGGTCTTGCTCCGGGCAGGCTTCTCCGCAGGCCCCGCCTCCCGCCCGCCCCGGCCCCGCCCCAGCCCCGCCCCGGCCCCGCCCCACTCTGCGCTCTCCGTCTAGTCCCTGTCAAGTTCTCCGCGGGCCCCGCCTCCCGCCCGCCCCGGCCCCGCCCCACTCTGCGCTCTCCGTCTAGTCCCTGTCAAGTTCTCCGCGGGCCCCGCCTCCCGCCCGCCCCGGCCCCGCCCCGCTGCGCGCTCGGTCTAGTCCCTGTCAAGTTCTCCGCAGGCCCCGCCTCCCGCCCGCCCCGGCCCCGCCCCACTCTGCGCTCTCCGTCTAGTCCCTGTCAAGTTCTCCGCGGGCCCCGCCTCCCGCCCGCCCCGGCCCCGCCCCACTCTGCGCTCTCCGTCTAGTCCCTGTCAAGTTCTCCGCGGGCCCCGCCTCCCGCCCGCCCCGGCCCCGCCCCACTCTGCGCTCTCCGTCTAGTCCCTGTCAAGTTCTCCGCGGGCCCCGCCTCCCGCCCGCCCCAGCCCCGCCCCGCTGCGCGCTCGGTCTAGTCCCTGTCAAGTTTTCCACAATCAACGCCCTTGTCCGAGTGACGCACAAGGCCTGCGCCGCACGACGAGCCCGCGTCGTGCACCATCTGGCCACGCCCACGGGGGTAGCGTGCGGTGCGAGGTCGCGAAGTTAGGGCCATGGCGCGGGTTGCCGCCCCCCCCGAGGTGATCCGCGCAGCGCAGAAGGACGAGTACTACCGCGGCGGCCTGCGGAGCGCGGCGGGCGGCGCCCTGCACAGCCTGGCGGGTGAGCGCCCGGGAGGACGCGACGGGAGGGAGGCCGGCGCCACCGCGGCTCGGCCCCAGGCCCTGGCGGCAGGGCGCTGCTCCCCCCGGGCCGCAGCGGGCGCCCCGCCCTGGAGGCCGGGTCGGCGGCCGCGAGAGGGTGACGGTCAGAATAGGCTGTTTGGACGTGGCGTGTTTATTTGTTAAACACTTTGTCGTACTCTGTGCCAGGCGCTGTTCTCCGTGCTTGTCCAAAGGTCACCCGTTTACTCTTCAAACGTCCCCACAGATAGGACCTGTGGGCGTCACTTTCGCGACAGGCGGGCAAGTGGAGTCCGGGATCGCTCGGCCAGGCAGCTGGAGAGCCAGGCGTGACGCCGGGCAGGCGGCCTGCAGCCTGTGCCCAGCACTGCCTAGACTGGGCCTTGGGGCGGCGGGCCCTGGAGCGGGAGACAGCTGCAGCGGGTTCTTCTCAGGAGGGGTCTGTGCCGCAGGCCCAGGCAGGAGGAGGAAGAGCCAAGGGAGGCCAGGAGAGAGAAGGGTGGTTGAGGGCTTTCTCAGCTTGCCGGAAGGGGAGGAACTTGATCTGGTACTGAGCACCTGGGGAAGTTTGTTGGCCCTCACCCTTAAAGGACCCCACCACTTCCCCAGGAATGATGTGTTTTTCTCTTCTCAGGTGCAAAGAAGTGGTTGGAGTGGAGAAAAGAGATCGAGCTGCTCTCAGACATAGCCTACTTTGGCCTCACCACACTTGCAGGTACCACCCTCAGCAGGCCTTTGGCATTGAGGGATCCACAACCCACCCAAGTCAAAGGATGGGGATGGGATGGGGGGCTTCCAGGCAGAGTGAGAAGCTCCTGAAACTAGCCCACATGCAGCCCCAGGAAGGAAGGGACCACAGACCAGAGGAGGAGCTGCCCGGGACTCCCCAGAGCCCAGGGCTCAACCCCCAGCCAGGGGCCTTGCCCTCCATCATTTTTGTCCCTGGAGACCTTCTTCCAGGACTTTGCCCAGGGTGGTGTTTTTTTCAGTGGCTACCTTGGTGACACAAGTGGGTCACAGTGGTCACCCGAGTCCCAGGGGTGCTAGCAGTAATCTCTGATGGGGGAGTGAGAAGGTCAAGCCAGTTGTAAAGAAGGGGGCCACCCAGGGGTGTCCTGCCACCCTGGAATGCTCTGGTTGCTGATAAACACCACATAACTGCATTGTGTAGTAGTGTGGGAGGTGATGAGCTCTTTAGGGGAAAGGGCGGTTTTGAGAAAGAGCATTTCCCAGGGCCAAGAAGACCCTGATAAGGAGGCCTCCTTAGAAGGCTGGGGGTGCCCCTGAGAGACAGTAGTTTTGTGATCTTTTAGCTTTTCCTCTGAAAGGTGGGGGTGTTGCAAGGACATGGGAAGGGAGAGGTCAGGCAGAGGTAGAAGCAGGGAGACACACGGGAAGAGATGTCAAGGATGCACTATAGGTTTGACCTCAAGAATAGGAGGGCCAGCATGGTTTTCCATGGAGACAGGGAGTGGGGAGCAGGCTTTCCCAGGTGGTCTGGAAGCTCCCTGTTGGTTAGCAGTGAATTGGGGATGATATCTGCTAGGCAAGTGACCTGGAAGCCGGGTATTTGGGAGTGAGCCAGGTCTGGGTTTGCACTGGAGTGTGTGGGAGGTAGGGAGCAACAAGACTGAGTCCTGCCGCATGGGCAGGGAGTAGAGGGGCAGCAGGGGAGAAAAGGGGAACAGGCACAGGCTCTGAACCTGGGGGAACAGGGAGCACAGGTGTGTTAGCTTTCCACTGCTGCAACAAAAGCAGAAACGTCTAACTTGAAGGAGGAAAGGTTTATTTTGGCTCACTTGGCCCCGTTGCTTTGGGCCTCTGGCCAGGCAGAGCACCGTGGTGGAGAGCATGTAAAAGAGCAGAGCTGTTTGACTTGTAGCCACCAGGAAGCAGAGCAGAGAACAGAGGAATAGGTCAAGGAATATCCTTAGTGACCTGCCTCCTCCAGCTAGGCCCCAGCTCCTAGTAGCCCACTCAACTATAAACTTACCAGTGGGTTAGTGCCTCAGTTGCTTCCCAAAAGCCCTATCACTACATTGGGGACCAAACCTTCAACATATAAGTCTGGGGGACTTTCCAGATCCCAATCATAACAGGCCAGATCCCAGGAGCTGAGGGCAGCCTGAGTGGCAGGTTGTGTCCCTGAGGTCACAAGGTGGGTTTTGCAATGCGAGGTCATGTTGGCCATGCCCAGGGTTCAGGGAGACATCCTGAAGGGGATGAGTTAAAGGGTAACAGGTGGGACTATGGACTGATGCTCAGGTACAGAAGCTGAGGACAGGCTGACCACAGGAGCCTGTCCCTGCATCAGTGCACACCTGTCCTTGTCCTTCTAGGCTACCAGACCCTTGGGGAGGAGTATGTGGGCATCATCCAGGTGGACCCATCCCAGCGGCATGTGCCCTCCAGGCTCCGCCGTTGTATGCTGGTCACATTTCATGCAGTCCTGCCCTACCTGCTGGACAAGGCCCTGCTGCCCCTGGAGCAGGAGATGCAGGCTGAAGGTGACAGCATGCGGCCCTCACAGGGTAGCCTGGTGCCCAGTGGGCGTGGCCGGTCAGGGACACGACGATGGGTTCGTCGCCACATGGCTACCCTGACTGAGCAACAGAGGAGGACACTTCAGCGGGCCACCTTCATCCTTAGACAGGGCCTCGCCTGCCTCCATCGCCTCCACATAGCCTGGTTTTACATCCACGGCATCTTCTACCACCTGGCCAAGAGGCTCACAGGGATCACTTATGTAAGTAGAAGAGCCAAGGGCCCTACCTGGACACCTAGACCACTGCTGCAGGGTCTGTGCTAGTGGTCTATGTGATAATGTCATCAGTCAAGTGTGCCTGCAGTCTGAGGTGGGAACGAGACCTCTACTTGGAAAACCAGTTTTTATTCAGTTACATTTTGCTGAAAGACCTGGGGAAGTCCAACTTCCATGAACTCCGAGGGTAGGGCAAGTCTTTTTTTCCTGTGCAGGGCTGCCAGGAGGTGGGGATAGGTCACTAAACACAGAGACCTTGGGGCAGATCTGCAGCACAGGTCTAGACTGCGGCTGTGTACATTTTATTGCTTTGGGGAGGGAGCAAGTGGTCCCAGTCAGTGCCGAGTGCAGGCTCCAGCCCAGTTCCCAGGGCCCCACTCACACTGTTTTGCAGTCCTGGCACAGGGGCAGTGTCTTGGGTCTTGGTCCAGGGATGTTTCTCCAACAGTTGATCATGTAGACAGCACCTCTGCCAGGCCTCCCTCATCTGCATTTACTGATCCGTCTGCTGCTCCTGACAGCCACCCCAACTCTTCCTGTCCTGGCTCTCTATTGGCACCCATGGAGCATCTCTCTGCCCCCAGCCTTGGTGCCCTCCTCCTGGGCTACAATGCTGCCTGAGTTTTCAGAAGGGAGGTCATGTTGGCCATGCCCAGGGTTCAGGGTGACATCCTGAAGGGGATGAGTTAAAGGGTGACAGGTGGGACTGGTGGACTGGTCTTGATCCAGGGAGGAATAGTAGGACCCCAGTACTCTCTTTGGCCACTGCACTGCTGCCTTGAGCCCCTCCCAGGTCCCTCTCAATCTTGCCTGCCCCACCCCACATATAAGCAGGTCACCAGGATCAGTTGCAGAGTTGTGGTGGGGTCTCAATGTTCAGTGCACCCAGACCTGAAGGTATGTAGTAGGTCCTCACGCCTTGCAGGATCTGGGTAGTTTGCTGAGTGGCTGTTCTCCCTCCTCCAGGGCCACTGTTGGCCAGGCACCGGGCAGGCATGGGGCTCCTCTCCACAAGGGCAGCGGGGCCAGATTGGCCTTGGGGTCTGCCACCTCTATATGTGCTCCCACTCTGGCCCAAGATGCCTATCTGGCTGAACTGACTGTCTCCACTTTGGAGCAATGGGCTTTTTCTTCAGTAACATGAAGTTACATTACTAGGTACAGGAGAGACTGGGAGTGTGTGTAGGGTCAGAGAGCCATATACCTTGCTAAAATAGGGACGTGTCTGTCCCTGTAACAATGCAGCTGGTGAGGAATGTCCACATGTCCGGCTCCATGTCCCCTCAGCTTCTCTTTGGCCCTTTTCCAGTTAGTCCCTTTTCTCCCCAAAAGGCGGTTACTGGATGACCGCAGAATCTTCACCCACTCCCCTGTCCTGTCCAGCCTCAGGCTCACCCCAATTATGCTGAGGATGGCCAGCAGTCAGTCTCCAGCCTAGGGCCTCTTCCTGAGTCTCCCCAAACCCACCCCCAGGCCTGGTCTCATTCTTTGGGCACTCCCAGCACCCTGGGAGGCCTGGGCCTGACAGAACAGGGGCTCTCTCGCAGATTTGGAGCCAGGTCCCCTTCAGGGTGCTGATGGCTCTGGGGCCACCTACCTTGACAGCTGCGGATCCACCACCTGTCAGGAGAGGACCCACGGGCTCGCGCAAGCTACCGGCTGCTGGGGCTCGTCTCCCTGCTGCACCTGGCACTCTCCGTGGGGCTGCAGCTGTACGGCTTCAGGCAGAGGCGGAGAGCCAGGAAGGAGTGGAGGCTGCACCGCAATCTGTCCCACCGCAGGTGCGCAAGGGCTATTGGGGTGCTTGAGCATACTGCAAGAACTGGACAGCACTCTGACCTTGACTGCCCTGCCCTCCCCAGGAGCTCCCTGGAAGACAGAGCCGTTTCCCGCGCACCACTGTGCACCCTGTGCCTGGAGGAGCGCAGGCATGCGACAGCCACTCCCTGTGGCCACCTTTTCTGCTGGGAGTGCATCACTGAGTGGTGCAGCACCAAGGTGTGTGGCCAGCCCGAGCCCTTCTAAACGTCCCTCTGTCTGGGGTGGAGGGTGGCCTCTTCTAAAAGTGCCCAGGTCAGTTAGGTGTGGAGCCGTGTTTAGGTAGAAGTCCATGTGTTCACCTGCCCAGTCTTGGCTGAGACCTTGGGCAGAAGGCATGTGGTGAGCACAAGGCCCAGACCATACTGCCCTCACCCTGCCCTGCCAGGCTGCACCCACCATCCTTGTGCCCACACTGGACTCCACTTCTAGCAGGACAGGTGCCGAGTGGCAAAGTGCACATGCTGCATCCCCTAGGCAGCTGGGCACTTCCCTTGCCGGGAGGGACTACAGAGTGGCTCTAGCCAGAGAGCTCTTAGGGAGGGCGCCCTGGACATCATGGAGCAGGACAAGGACAGGAGAACTCATTCTTCTGGAAACACGCCCAAGAGACTCAGTAATGCCAGTGGGATGGGCGTTTCTGAGAGCCCAGTGTACCCTGTGGAACTCTTGCACAGCAGTGCAGAGGGAGCCCTGTCCCAGCGGGTAGGACCAGGGTGCGTCCAGAATGGGATCTGGTGGGAAGACCTAAAAGAAAGGGTTCAGAGCAGTTCATGTGGCCCAACATCTGTCTTCCTGACGAAGCCTGAAGCCCTCCACAGCTGCCTGCCCAAGCACTGCTGGGCAGATACAGTGAAGCTCGGGCAGCAGAATAAGCCCAACAGGAAGGTCCCCAGCACCAGTGGTCCGTAGGTGCTGAGGGTGAATGAGGAGCCCCTTGTGTGGTACCCTGAGTGTCCAGGGGCACAGCTGCTGTGGGCCAGAACTGACCATGCCTAGCACCACCACCCTGTCAGAACCGGGGAAGGCTGTTCCATGGTCCTGAGCTGCAGATCATGGGTTCAGCAGGAAGGGTCAGCCTGTGTGTTGTCAGTGACCCTGCCATCCCCCACAGGCGCAGTGTCCCCTCTGCAGGGAGAAGTTCCCTCCCCAGAAACTGGTCTACCTGAGGCACTACCGCTGACTGTCACCAAACACCCCGGAAAGTGGATGGAGGAACCTCAAGAAGCTTATTCTCGAGATTCACTTAGTTGTACAGAAATCATAGAACCCTTTGCACTGTGTTGCCACATAAAGCTACGACTCCCACCACCAGGCTAGAGGACAAAAAGCTGGTGCTGACAAGGATGACCAGCCTGGCACTATAAGGGCTGCTTTGGCAGGTGGCTGTGGCCCACCAAGGGAGGAGCCAAAGCCCCGGGTTTGGCTCAGCTGAGGGCTTCTTCAGAGGTCCCTCATTTGGACAAGGTCTCAGGATTCCCTCCCTCCCCAGCCACACAGTTGAGAACTAATTTCAAAAGTTGTCCAGAAAGAATTTTATTCACTCTGTTGAGCAGAGGACTCTCAGGAGGTAGGAGCTGAGCATCGAGTGGGGAGGGGGCAGTGTGCTCCAGCTGGGTGGTCACAGAGGACCCCAGCATCCAGGCCAGGTAAGCCCATCTATAGGACTGGGTGTCAAGACCACACAGTAACCAAAGGTCAGTACCTCTGACTAAATATTTGGCACATATTTTTAATTCATGGCATTTCCCATTTTTGGCTTTAGCACAAATGGGAAGGGGTCTCCCCAACTGCAGGGGCAGAGCCAGCTTGAGTGAAATTTCCTGTTGTTTTCTTCACATCTTACCTTGCTTCTGCTCTTAGGCTCCTCTGGGGAGCCTAGGTGAACCAGTGCCCTCCCCCAAAGGCCCAGGTGGGCAAGCATGCTGCTTACCCAAGGTCATGCTGTGGCAGCCCCCTCAGCGTGTCCCCAGCCTGCTTCCTGCCTCTATTTGATATTTCCAGGTTTTCAAACTTAACTGGTGCCAGAGACAACTTGCAACTTTTAAGAAACTAATTCCACAGAAATGTTGGTCCATGGAGAACAAAGGATTGACCTGGAAGAATCTCATAAAATGTATGGAGCTGCCCCTGGCAGGACCTCTGGGTTGTGTGGAATGTGGGGCTGAGGCCAGCCAGCAACACTGGCTTTGCTGTGCAGCTGTTCCTAGTGAGCAGGGCCAGCGAACAGCAACAGGCAACTGCCTGCCCTAGGCTGGGAGGAGCTCTGGGGATGGCTCCAGGGCTGTTGGGCAGCAGAAGCCTCCACAGCCCCTGCAGGGAGCCTGGAGCACAGCTCTGCGCAACCATGCTCAGCCCTGGACAGATGCACACTGAGTTCCCATCACAGGCAGAGTTTGACAATCCCAGGTGCTGCCTGTACTGCAAGCTACTAGGGAGGCTGAGGCAAGAGGAAAGTCTGACGCCAGCCTTGGCAACTTAGACTGTGCGGCAGAGAGAAAAATTTACAGGGATCTTGGAGGGTGTGGCTCAGGTACATCACTTGCTTAACAAGGCTCAAGGCCCTGGATTCAATCCCCAGAACCACACACACATACAAAAAGTGAACTTTCAGGTACACAGAAGGACTTATATATGACCTCTCAGAGGAGCTCAACTTGAGATCAGAAGTCAACAAAAGACGTCCAGACCATTGGCTCAGTGTCTGAAACCCTGTGTGTGCATGGGAAGCCCTGCTGCCAAGGCACCAGAGGGCCAGAGCACTTGTGCCCCCTGCAGGGGTGTCTCCTGGCTATTGTCAAAGACTGTTCCCCACCCGGGACAGCTGAGAGCAAGCTGGGCCTTGGTGCAAGGACTAGTGCTTTAGGTATAGACTATGCAAGCAAAGGACACTATCTTTAATAAAACTGGAATTAAAAAGTCACTTAGTAAAATGTTTAAGAGTATTTTTTTTTATCATATTAAAAAAGTTGACATGCGGTAGGTTCTATTTCCCTTGTAGAAAATGAAAAGCTGTTATGTTAAACTCACAAACCTGGCCTGCTCTGACCAGTTTTGGTGTTTCCTTACAGGGGCTGAAAACATTTAGTCAAAAGCAAAACAAACTCTTCATATGTATCAAAGAAATGTGTCAAAATAATCTCAAACAATTAAAATATAATATGTTTATAATTCCAGGCCCTCAGAAGCAATCATGGTAGTTAAGAACAAAGTTTTGAGTCATCGTGATAGAGGCCAGCTTGAAAACACCTCCAGTGAGGTGAGGTTTGGAAACTGGCATGAGAACCCCAGAGTTACTTGAAATCAATCACCTGTGCAGCATTACGTTCTCTGGCACGCAGGAATCGGGTTGGCATGGTCCCTCCGGTCTCACCGTGGCTGGGAAACAGCCCCACGCAGAGCAGCCAGCTCCTCTTGTGGCCTCTCTCCTGTCCTCCCTCCCACCCCTTGCTCCTGTGGCTGCTGCCCGCCTGGCCTCTTGAGCCTGCGGTTAATACAATGCCGTCCTTTGAAACATGTGGACACCACTGAAATAGAAATCAATGCAATCTGGTTTAAATGCCAGTTTCTTCAAGAACCTGTATTTCAGTTACAAATCATTGAGGCTCCTTTTAAAAAAGAAAATTCAAATCCCTTGTAATCAACTACTTTATGTGAAGAAAAAGGCATTGTTACAATGGCTCAAAACCGTCTTGAACACGTGTGCCAGATTCAGTCCAGCTTCTAACTAGCAAACGTCTTGCCCACGTCCTCCTTCCCTTTGTATCTCCTCTTTCCATGTGTGAATGGTATGTACCGGTATTTAATCATGTGCTGGGAAAACAAACACAAACAAGCTTGAGTTACTTCACAACTGTCCCCCGAGGGGCCACACTTCCCCTAACCTCAACAGCCAAAGGTGCCCCTCAGTCTTCTCTACAAGTCACAAGTCATGAAAACTGCCAAAGCCCAGCTGACCTGTCCGAGCCGTACCTGAAATCCCGACTTTCAGGGAATGTTTGGTGAGCCCTGTGTGGGAGGGGAGGGGGTGGCAACACCACCCCGCCTGCAGAGCCCTGAGTTTTAAATTACGAAGAGCCACTGAGACCCTGCAGGCCCAGGAATGACCTGGCACAACCTGGCACTTTCTCCCCAGCTCCCAGCCAGCTGCCCAAGGGCCCGCTGGTTCCCACATGGAGATCTGCAGATTTGTGCACACTGCCTCCATGATGGGGAGCACGGGGTCCTCACCATGCACTAGGCAGTGCTGGCCACTCCTAGCAGGCCCTACCTCCTGCTGCACAGCAGAGACCTGGGCACAGCTCTCCCAGGGCAGTGACAGGACAGAGCACAGCAGCACTGAAGTCTTTACCTTTATTTGCCTCTTCATTGTGATACAGAAAAGCATGATGAAGTACATCACCAGGATCGGCCAGAACACCGGGACATTGAAAGCCTCGAAGAAGGTGCAGACCATTGCCACCAGGATGCCCTTCGTGGCCGCATGCCTTGACATGAGGAAAGAAGTTAGCAGTGCTACCTGTGGCCAGAATCTGGCAACTGCCAGCCCCCTCTAGCCTCCAGTTTTCCCTGTCTTCACCCACAAATGAGCACCACGGGGAGTGGAGCCTGCGTGGCAACCTGTGGCACTGTGTGAATTAACTGTGTGTGCACACTACCCTGAGCCTTAACCGCGTCATCCTTTCAGTCCCTCAAGCTGAAAAAGCCTTAAACCTACACAAAGTACAACATGCCAAGCTGAAGCCGATGCACCTGTGTGCTGCCCAGGCCTGCTGTCTGATTCCAAGGTCCCAGCATGTGATGCCCTCACTTCCAACAGATTCCACACTCCCTGCTTCCAGGGCCCATGATCCCCGGCCCTGCACTCCCTCTCCCCAACTGCCCCCCACTCCAGCACCTCACACTGTGTCCCATGCCCAGTGCCAGGGCTGCAGGATTAGTGCCTGTAGCTGGAGGAACCCAGTTGGTTCAATTTAGTGACCCAACAAAGACTTCAGTTCCTCCTGGGTCCCAGAACAGGGGTCCCAGAAACAGGACAGAGGGCGAGTCACAGAGCTCCCGACCCTCTGGCAAAGGGGTATATGAGGAGCTGGGTCCAACCACATGTCCCTGCATCACACTCCTCCTTGCCTCCTTCTAGCTACATGGGACCTAGTGTACACAGGGACCAGCCCCTGAGGGTAGGCCCAGACCCATCACCAACATGGTCACCCCTCTCAGGAACTAGGCAGGGGCTGGGGCTCAGTGGCAGAGCGCTTGCCTAGCACATGTGAGGCACTGGGTTCTATCCTTAGCACCACATAAAAATAAATAAGATAAAGGCATTCTGTCGATCTATAACTACAAAATAAATTTTAAAAAAAAAAGAATTAGGCAGGGAGAAAATTAGTCCAACTCTACTGGCCATGGGAGGCCACAGGACCCAGAGGGCAGCTGCCTTGGCCTGCCCTTCTGAGGCTCAAGCATGCAAGAGAGCAGCTCCCTACCTCTCAGAACAAGCCTCATGCCTGCCAGCTCCAGACATCACAAGGTGGCAGTCTGCCCCACACCCACCCAGCCAACACATTTTGGGTGAATGAACATTGCAAAAAAATGAAGCACACCAAACCCACTCCTTTAAGAAGTCTTAACTGGTGGCTGACTAGAACAAACTGACTCTTCTCAGTCTCCTCAGCCACACTCAAGCACAGGCCAGACAGACACCTTTCAGAGTCAGAGGTGCAGTCAAGTGTGGCACAGCACAGGAGGGCATCTATGGGGGACAGTTCACTGCATGCTTCACAGCAGCTAACAGGATCGTGACTGTTCCCACCACAAAGACGTGGCAAATACCTACAGTAATGGACGTGCCAGCTTCCTGATCTGACAGGTACACGTTGTACACATGCACTGACATGCCACACTGTACCCCGTAAGCACACAGTCACCACATGTCAAATACAAATACAGCTTAAAAAGTTTAATAGGAAAAAAAAAATAGCTCACCAAAATTTAAACTCTGGAAGCCTTCGAATGAAGGGGCGAAATTCCTCATTCTGTTTGGTTGGTAAGGAAGGGCCATCATCTGAAAGGCAGATTACCAATCTGAGATATAGCACTTGCCTCTCATCTTTTTATTTCTATCACTACATTCAGAAGCTTTCCCTAAAAGTTTTAATTAGCAGGCCTCACATTTGGAAATAGATTTACATTATTTAGCCAAAGATAAAATGGGGGTCTACTGCCAATTTACAAATCAATTCAATGCTTTAAAAGATTCAATTTAGACTTTCTTTTGAAAGACTTCTACACATTTTGTATGCATAAAAAGAATTCAATTACACACAGATTTTTCATCAATTATATGACATCAAGAAAACAAAGGGACTGGGGATGGAGCTCAGTGGCAGAATGCTTGCCTGGCATGTTCCATCCCTAGTACCACAAAAAAAAACAAAAAAACAAGGAAGAATTACATTTACACAAAACAAGCAGTAAAGAATGCAGGCAGGCTGTGTCCTTGCCCCCAAGAACACTGTGGGACTGCGGTGAGCTGCTGCAGGCCATGCTCTGCTCATCCACCGCACCTCGTGTACAGAGAGAGAAACTGAGGCCCCAGGAAAGGGTCTTCTCTAGTCTCCTTCAGATAGCAATTAAACAGAAGGGGCTGTACTTCCTTTAGTGTTTTCATTCATTATTCCATAAAGAAAAACCACAGACTTCTGATCTCCTACTCAAACCCCACTCTGGAGCACCTCCCACAACAGAGGACCCTGGGGCCCAGGCAGCCAGTGTGCCCTGACAGAATCACACATCGTCTGTGCCCCCAGCCCCTCCCTGGCCCCGGCAGGGCAGGAACAGCAGGAACCTCGCAGACATGACACAAACATGCCAAGCACATTTCACTTTCTCAGAAACCAGGGAGTGCTTGCCACCTCACCCCAGACTGGCCACCAGCAGCCAGGGTCTAGTGGTCTGTGCTGATCCTAGCAGAGAGCCCTGTAAACCTCTGGTCACCTGAGAAGCCAAATGGTAAGTCCTACAGCAGGGCCAGGATGGGCTGCCTATAGAAGGTGGAAACCTAGAGGCAGGCTCAGCGCCTCTTCCATTGGTCCCCTTCTCTGCCAGATAACCCCACATGCCTCAGTCTCCTCATCCATAAAATGGGGACATCAGTGAACACCCCGACAAGGCTGTATGAAGGCTGAGAGTGCTCATGCTAGCCCGGCTACCACAGGTACGTGCAAGCACCTGGAGCACAGCCCTGCGCGTCCCTGGAGTGCGAGCGGCCTCCCCAGGAAGGCACAGAGGCACCCACTGCCCACACAGCACTGTGGATGGCCTCTGCTTTACCTGAGTCTTCCATTAAGGAAGGGTCCACTTTGGGAGAAAGGAACGCTATGAAAAGATTTAGATGGTAGATTCCCAGGGCGTAGGTCACGATGTACCAACCCTGGAAGAGAAGGAAGCACAGCGTTAGTGAGCAGCCCACCCGCGCAGCCCGAAGTGCTTCACTATGCCTGTGCCCCTTAACCTGGACTAACCTGGAAACAGCAAGAGACGCCAGCTTAAGTGACAATGGAAATGTCCATGGTGACCATTTACCTCAAATTACTCTGTGGGTCTTGAGACTAATATGATGACCCAGGGTCCAGGCAGCAAACTCCTTCAAGTATCCCACTAGATGCACGTGATACCTGCAGCCAAGGGTTCCCAACCAGAAGTGCAACAGAAAAGGAGGCTTTCCTCAAAAATCACAGGCCTGCCGTACACCATGGGGCTGGGGTGTGGCCTGACACCCCAGGGGACGCTGGCCTGCACTCCTGGCCATAAGCCCCGCGGGGAGCAGATTCACATGAGACCCAAGACATAATCTCAGCTGGTAGCAAAGACAAGGTGGCTGGTGTTCCTCTGATGGATAAGTAGTGCCTGCCTGCAGGTTCC